CAGGCTCGTCGTCTCGCTGCCTCTCCGGCTCCACAGGCTCCGACAGCGGCTGCGTCTCCTCCCACCTCCAGGAGGCGCTGTCTGAGGAGCCGAGCCCCCCTGGCCAGTCCCCCTCTTCCTCCAACAAGCAGCACCTGAGCAGCCAGTACATTTCATCAGTGAGTGCACACACACACACACACACACACACACACACTCTAAGACGTGATGGAAACTCAGACGTTAACTGTTTATGTTCGTCTTCAGAAAACTGCCGCTGTCATCGGCCCCGCCACCATCGTGTGACGGCCCTCACCCGCAGCACTCACCTGTAAGTCTGTGTACTTCCTGTCTGACATCATCACTTCAGTCCAGAATCAAACGTGTGACATAAACTCAACTTAATGTTTATTAAGTGATCATGTGATTAACGTGTGTGTGTGTGTGTCTCTCTCTCTCTCTCCTGCAGGTTTGAGTTCTTCCTGCTGCAGTTTGACGTCACTGATAAAGTTTGAATGTTTTATTTATGTTTGAAGCTTCAGTCGTTTGTTCTGTAAATACGACGCCAGAGTTTCAGTTTGTGAGCTGATCCAGGGTCTGAGTGTGTGCGTGTGCTTGAGTGTGAGTGTGTGCGTGAACTGATCCAGGATCAGCTGGACTCGTTGTACATGTGTGTAAATAAAACCACAGCTGAGCATCTGCTGTCACTTTTCTTACTTGAATAAAGCGTTGACACGTTGTCACCTCACGTTCATCACGTGTGTGTTTTCAGTGACAGACTCACAACATCACAGTCGTGTGTGTGTGTGTGTGTGTGGGTCTTTTCTTTTAAAAAGACATGAGCGAAGAGGCGGAGCCACAGGACACCTGTCTGCGGGTGAGTTCAAGCAATAAAAGAATTTCCTTTGATTCAAAGCAAATATCAGAGAAAGTTTTGTTATTCAACTTAATTTTTTCATCTTTAACTTGTTGAGCAGCTTGTTCCTGTTTGAAAGATGTTTTTATAGATAAAGTTTATTATTTTATTATTATTTGGTGGATCTGCAGCACCACCTAGTGGGTCACAGTGGAAACGAGGGTCCGAGATAAATAGATTGTGAACAAACAATAAAAGATTTAGTCTGAAAATAAAAAGTTGATAGAAAAAGTTTTATTTAATTTTTTGTACAATCAGCTGCAGTGACGTCACAAACAGGAAGTGGAGGTCAAAGGTCACCACAGTGATGACGATCACAAACACCCACAGTGATTTCTTTTCACAATAAAAGCTTCCTGAAAACTTTTCACTCCAAGAAACTCACGTGAATCTACAGATTTTTACAGAGTTTCAGAAAAACAAAACTCAGGATCAATAAAAGAAAACGTGTAAACATTCAGCTGCTGATTAAATCTGCACGGATCAATTCATCTCCCATGTTTCTGATTTTCTGTTAATTCTCAATTTTTAGCTTTGAATGAAACTGAAACAAAAAGTATTTGAAGAACAAAAATGTCGTAAAAATCTCTGACTCGTTCAGACTCAGATTCTAATAACGAAAAAAAAGTAAAATTAAAAGTGACAATTTTCACACTTTTTATTATTGTAACATATTTTTGCATAGAACAGTTTTAGTTACAAAGTGAAAAAACAAACAATTAAACAGAAATTAAAAAAAACAAACTGAAAAATAAGTTTTACAATGAAACACAAAATCAGTGAAAAGAGAAAAAGCTCAAATAAACTGATTCTGTCGATCAGATGATTTTGATTCACGCTGATCATCAAACAGTTTTCATTTTTAACTTTCTCTCATTTCACAGACAAAAACACTTTTGAACAAAAATAAAAGTTAAAAAAATAAAATATATTTTGTTTCTTATAAAAACAACAAACGATCGCTAAAGTTGATATCGACTGATTATTGACGTCCGGAGGTGAAGACTCCACGGATGTATTAGAAATTAAAATACTGGGTCATTTTTTAATGAAAGACATAAATATAAAGTGTTTTCTCATATATTGATCAGTTTTGATAGATTTAAAAATAATATTGATCAGGTTGATTGATATGTGACCTTGAATGAAGATTAGCTTGATAGAAATAAAAGGAGCAGCAGGACGCGAGTTAATAAAGACAATAAGATGAAAGACTGATAAAAATAACTGATGAATAATATAAAAGACTAATAATACTGCTGCAGTGAGTCTGTAAACTTCACAGTTCAACACCTTCATATGATTTAAACTTCAGTCACATGAAGACAGTAAAATAAAACAGGTTGAAGATGAATCGCTCCAGTGTTTCATTATAATCAGTTCATTAATAACTTTGTTTCTGTATGTTTGTCCTGTGATTCGCTGGAGACAGGGTCAAACCCCGCCTCTCGCCCCAATAACAGCTGTGATTGGCTCCCGCTCAACCCTCATCCCCGGCGCTCATGGGTTAAATGGCGGAGACGGATAGATGATGAATTAATAAAATCATCATTTAGTTACTTGAGTACTTCTACAACTGTCGGTCGTCGTTTCTGTTATTGATTCTTCACTATTTCTCCTTTAGAGTCTGTTCATTA